GTTGAAAGCTCAGATGCCCTCTTCACAAGGAAGGGGTGAGGCTGTAGGTGACTTGGTAAAGGAATTTTAGGAATAGCTTCTTAGAATAGTAAATGGGAGATGGAGTTTGCCACAGAGTTCTTCTGGGTGTGGTATCTCTTCTCCTGCCACGGGAGTCCATCCTCCCTGGTTGATGAAACTCCCATGGAGGGAGCTCATGACAGTTGAATTCCTTTTGGCATTATCTGTCTTTAGTCAAAGGACCTCGCAGAAAGCCTCTTCCAGCATTTGCTGACTTGCAGGTGCCTTCAGCCCAAAATAATCAATGCGCCAAACAAAGCAGCCTCTTTTAGGGTGGCCCATTTAGTTGCCTTTGTGACTCTGTGTCAGGCATGGTATAGAGTCGTTAAATTCATAATCTTGTCTAACCTCCCAGCAATTCTGTGAAGTCGAATCCCCCTATACAGATAAGATAATGGAAGCCACAGAGACCTGAGTCACAGTGGCTGCCTTCACTCAGAAGCACAGAGGGAAATGTTAAACTCAGGCAGTCTACCTTGTCCCCTTCACTGCTGCGATGTACAGGTCCATAAATCATGTGGGGTATGTGTGTGTGTGCACGTGCACATGTAATTTGTGTTTTTTAGATAAGCCTTTTCTTTTGGAGTGATTTATAGAAAAGCTGTAAAGATAGTATAGTGTTCCATTCACCCAGCTTCCTCGAATGCTAATAGCTTATATATATAACCATCACACATGTATTAAGATTTAAACATTAATACTGGTTCAGTGAACTAAACTACAGATCTGTCTATTCTGATTTCACCAGTATCTTTTTTTCCTCTTCCGGATCAAATGCAGGATTCCATGATGCAAGTTGCACGCATTGTTTCTGGCCCTTAACTGAGGAGGGCTGCATGTTGAACTGCTGGCTGGCCCAGTTTTGCCCTCCACTGAGTGGGGAAGTGAGACAGTGCCAGACAGGTGAGTCTCCCTGCACCTCCTCATGGGAGGTCTCGTTGTGGGGCCCAGGACTCCTGCTGTCTGACCCAGGCAGAACCCCTATCTAAGGTAGAAGATTCAGAACAGAAGCGTGGAAACAGTTTTTAATTACAGACCACACTTTGTCCACATGTAGTAGTTTGTAGCTGTAGCCACATTTCAAGAAACAAGAAAAGGATGGGGGAGAGAGACGATTCTGCAAAGAAACAATGCTCCAGCGTCATGAATGTTAAGTTTGTGATGCATTTGAATTCCAAGGGTACTAGGATGTTAAATAGGACTTCCCCTTAAAACAGTTTCCAGTCTTGGTTGCCCCTGGAATCACCTGCGGAGCTTCAAGAAACACCAGTGCCAGAGTTTCACCTCTTGATGCTGTGACTCCATCATTCTCTGTGTGGCCTGGACTTTAAAAGATACCCTGATGATCCTAATGCCCTGCCAAATTTGGGTACCGCTGCCCCCAAAGTCTCAGTGTTTCAGCTGAAGAGCAAAAGCTGAGGACAACGGATGACAAGTGTCCACACACTCAACAGAACGATGCTGGACCATCTGGGATGTGTGTAACGTGTCTGACATTCCACGGCCAGCACCTCCTGGATTCCCGGTATGGTTTTTGTGGGTGGTTTCTGGTCACTTTTTCCCCAGGATCTTCTTCATCCAGGATCTCTCCTCCTGCATCAGGATCAAAGAACTTCAGAACAGCTGGGGCTTCATCTCTCTCTCTCTCTCTTTTCTCTGAGACAGTGTCTTGTTCTGTCACTCAGGCTGGAATGCAGTGGTGGTGTTACAGTTCACCGCAACCTCAAACTCTTGGGCTTAAGTTACCTCCTGCTTCAGCCTCCTGAATAGCTAGGACTACGGGGTGCACACCACCACACCTGGCTAATATTTTTTACTTTTGGTAGAGATAGGGGTCTCATTGTGTTACCCAGCTGTTCTCTAAACCCCCGGCCTCAAGTGATCCTGCTGCCAAGGCCTCCAACTGGGATTACAGCTGTGAGCCACCGTGCCTGGCCCTCACCTCTCTTTCCCAGCTTGTACACTGCATCTTCCAACTCTGTTTCCTCCAGCACAGGCCCTGCCTCAGCCCCCTCTTTGGGCCGCCACCTGTAGGTCCTCCTGGGCCTGTCCCAACCTGCAGTATGCCTCAACCTCCACGGCTGCTTAGCTGTGCCCAAGCCCCAGCTGTTCTGAAGTTCTTTGAGCTGACTGCACTTGATGCTGCCCTCCACACTTCATTCCTGTGGGCTTGCTGTTCCCTCCACAGCAACGACCCTTCTCTCCTTTTTGTCCTAGGAGGCTGTCCTTCTTGTTCTCTTTCCTGGTCTTCTGTGGGGGACTTGCTCTCAGCCTAGTCCACACCTGCCATTGACATGTCTTGTCTTCTCCATGAGGCCATGAACTTCTTCAGGGCAGAGACCATGACTTTGAAAAATTATTATTACTATAATTAATTTATTTTTAGAGATGGGGTCTTGCTGTGTTGCCCAAGCTGGAGTGCACTGGTTATTCACAGGCATACTCATGGTGTACTGCGGCCTTGAACTCCTGGGCTCAAGTGATCCTCTTGCCTTAATCACCCATCTAGCTGGAAGTACAGGCAGGTGCCACCACATCCAGTTTGTTGAAAGATTATTGTCAAATATTTGATAGTTATAAAAATTTTATTTATATAAAATAGAACTTCCATAATCAATTACCATAATCAATTACCTCCCTAGATTGATCACCTCCTTAAGTCGACCTAATGTTGATAGACCAGACATGTACCACATGTACATATCAGTACAGTAGGCCTAGTTCCTTATGTTGACCACCTCAAGTTGACCAGCTGCTTGGATGGTTAATTTACAGAGGCTTTATTGTATGTTTACTATATAATTATATGTAGTTTTATATGCAGCTCGGGAGTCAAAGCTCTAGCTTTTGCTGACAGAAAAACGGAGACAGAGCTTTGCTTTTCACGAACTCCTTCCTGCCCACGGACCTGGGGCATCTGTGTCTGGGGTCCGCTCCGCTTTGAAGGTTACTGAAATGCTTGATCAGGGTAAAGTGGCTCTGCTCCCCAAGAGCAGCTGGTGAATAATCATGCCTAGGAAAACAATCCGCCTTTCAAAGAGATGGATCGTATCAGTGTGTGAGAGGGAGATGGCAGCAGGCCCAGTGCAAGCATTTGGCAGTTACTTTGTTGACCTGCTCTGTTGGCAGATTGTGGGTAGGAAGGATGGCTCTGCTTGTGTAGAATTCTTTCTCTCTCTCTGTACCCATCTTTATATCTGTATCTTTCTCTCTCTCTATGTGTATAAACATACACACATGTGTATACATTTGTATTTTTATGTTGCACGTACACACACAGTGTTCCTTCACGTACATTGACCTTGTTATTGAAAGTGTGCTTTCTGCCGGACGTGGTGGTTCACACCTGTAATCCCAGCACTCTGGGAGCGTGAGGAGGGGGTATTGCTTGAGCTTAGGAGTTTGAGAGCAGCTTGAGCAAGAGTGAGACCTGTCTCTACCAAAAATAGAAAAACTAGCAGGGCATTGTGGTTGGCACCTGTAGTCCCAGCTACGCAGGAGGCTGAGGCAAGAGGATTGCTGGAACCCAAGTTTGAGGTAGCTGTGAGCTTTGACACCATGGAGCACTCTACCCAGGGTGACAGAGTGAGCCTTTGTCTCTCTCTCTCTCTCACACACATACACAGAAAAAAAAAAAAAAGAAAAGAAAAAAAAGAAAAGAAAAAAAAGAAAAAAGAACAAAAAAGGAAAGAAAGAGTATATCGAGTATTTTCTTTTGGACTTCCAATTTTAGGCCAGACTTAGGCTTAGGTTGTTGAGTTAATTAATGAATTCATAGAGACAGAAAGTAAAATGGTGGTTACTTGGGTCTAGGCTGGAGGGGAACTGGGGAGTTAGTATTTAATGGACATAGAGTTTCAGTTTGGGAAGATGGAGATGGAGGTGGACGGTCGTGATGGCCGTTGCGTAACAATGTGAATGTGCTCAATGCCACAGAACTAAACCCTCAAATGTGGCGAAAATGGTAGATTTTATGCTATGTATATGTTACCACAATTTTAAGAAAGTAAAAAAAGTAGGGA